GGAATAATAACAATTTTATGCCAGTGGATGAGATCTAATGGGGAGGCAAATTTTGATTATGGAGGAGAGAGAAGGAAGCACTGCTGGTAGTGCTTGAGTAGATGAGAAGGCTGAGATTTAGTGCCCAGGGGAGGGCTGTAGTCAGTAATACCAGGAGGGAAGACACAATCACCGGGCCAGCCACAGGAAGGGTGGTAAATGAGGTCCTTTCTCTAACCATGGTTTCTCTGCTTCTCAGGGAGAGTCTGAGGAAGCCCACCAGTGGTTCCAGGCCCTCCTAAAAAGGTGGGGGAGCCCACAGCTTATTCTCCCCACCCCAGTTCTAAGTCTTGGCACACCAGGACAATGAGAGAAGAGGGTCAGGGGAATGGAAATGTCTACTTTCATTTATTTATTCATTTAATCACTCATCCAATCAGTATTAAGGGCTTACTTTATGCCCAACACTGTGCTAACAATTGAGGATAAAGTTGTGACAAAGGGTACTAGATTTTGCCCTGCCATCCCCAAATTTACAATCCAGAGGCAGATGGCAACAAGAAAACAGCACCAGCAATACAGTGCGATTGCCATTTTATTAGTGAGGAGGCGCGGGTACTCTGCACCACAGAGAAAGGTGTCTAACCAGGGCCGAAGGCATCTGAACTGACATCAGTGACAACTGAACGACCAAAGAAAGAACCATAGTTAGCCAGACCAAGAGGGTTAAGAATGTTCCCTGTGGGAGAAATCACCAGGGGAAAGGTCTGGAGCCTAGAGACTCACTCAAGGAAAAGAAAGAAGTTAATTTTTCCAGAGCATGATGAAAGAACCAGCTGGATAGGTGAGCAGGGCCAGTCAGGCTGAGTCATGAGTGAATTTATCACAAGAGCCACAGGGAGGCACTGAAGCTGTTTTAAACGAGAGTGACGTCATCAGGAAAATTACTCAGACTACAGTGTGGGGAATAGAGGTGGCCAAGGTGGAGCCAAGAGAAGCCAGTTAGAAACCTGGTAGTAATCCAGGTGAGAGATGCCCAGGACCAGGTGGTGACACCGGGCGGGAAGAGAAGTAGATGGATTTGGGGGGGAGAAATACTTGGGGAATGAGAACCCTGGGCCTCGGTGCTTGGTTGCCTATAAAGGGTGAGAGAAAAAGAATGTTCCGAGTGGCTGAAGGCAGTGTAATGCAGAACTCAACATTTAAGGGATGAGCAGGAGGGAAGAGCCAGAAAAGGAGAAGGAGAAAGAACCACTGTAGAAAGCACAGGAGAGTCAAGAGCCCTGCAAGCCAAGGAAGGGGTGGTCCATCGTTTTTGCAAGGGTTACGTAGTGTCTTCAGACGCGTCACCCACAGATGGTCAGGTGAGTATACATCACAAGACAATTACAAGAAACTGTTTATTAGACCGAAGATATGCATGCCAGACATCTGGACTCTAACCTTTATGCTGGTAAGAGGCAAAAAACTTATTATATAAAAATCTTTCGGCTAGGGGAACCGGCCCACCAAGGCCACTCCGGCAAAGATAAGGAGCGAGAAGAAAGTTATAGACCAAAAGCGCCAGGCAGCCTCCCATCTGCCGCCCTGCAGGCCGCAGGCCATCCCCTAAGAGAACAAAGAAAAAGAGGGAGACTAAGGCCGCAAGAGCTGAGAAAGCCCCACACCCCCTTGGAAAGAGAGCAGTGCCGCTGGCACAACAAAAAAGGGCATTGAAAGTAAAGTGTACAAAATACCAAGCAAAAAAAACCTTATAGGTTATTTTGGTATCATTATGACATTAGTTATGTCGAGCTCTCAATCGCCCGTTTTGAAAAGGAGAAAACATGCTGTGAGGTATTAGGGTCACAAAACTCTTTAAATATGATGAGAAGCGTCCAGTGGAGAGGAACTAGGAAATCCCGAGAAGACAGGGCTTCGAACCAGTTATTCTCGTTCAAACCCCTGCTGAGAATTTGCATTTCCCTCCCAGATATACTGAATCAGAATCTACAGTTTAACAAGATCCCCAGGTGATTCTTAGACATAATAAATTTTGAGAACAGCTGCTGTACTAGTCATTCTCAGAATTGGTCCCTAACCAGCAGCATTAGCATCGCCTAGGAACTTGTTAGAAATGCGTATTCTCAGCCGGGGTTGGAACTACAAAGAACCATTTCCAAGCCCTCCAAGAAGGCAAGAGAGGGTGGAGTACAAGCTGCAGATAAGAAGGAGCGGAAATGGTGAATTAAGGTAGCCTCAGTGCTTCAATAAAGCGAAAGGGTGGAAAGGAGCATATGCGCCCACGGGCCACTAACAGGATATTGACGCTTTCCTGTTGGAAATCTTTGCGTTTGAATTTTTTCTTCACTTTGCCCTCTTTTCTTGTCCTTGGAGGGCGTGAGGCAGGGAAAGTCCTCCAAAGTGAAGCCCATCTCGGAAGAACACAGCATTGGCAATGGCTGCTTTCGTTTACCCAGGAGCCAGGATTTATGAGACAAACTGATTAGTCTGGAAACCTTCAACCACTTAGTGTGCTCGGCTGAGACCACTAGATGGCAGCTGTGATTCATGGCATCGCTTACACGCGCCAGATGTCTGTTTTCATAATTCTCAGAATTTTTGAGATCACAACGGTCATCCAGTCCCACCCTTTTCCTTCCTCTTCTTTGGATGTTTTAATTCCAAATCTGATGGGTGGGGGGGAGTGTGTACGCAAGTATCTATTGAAACGCCACTGTGACAATATCCCCAAGGGAATAAATAGGAACATAATGCCCTATTCCTACCCTTTGTCAGTTCGGGAGCAGGAGGAGAAAAAGAAGCCAGAGGGAATGGACTGCCAAAGAAACTGGAGACAACCAGAGCGGGAAGGGGATACAGAAGCCAAGGGAGAGGTGCTTCCAAAAAGGAGGACGTGGGGCGTCTGTAGAGAAGCAGACTGGGGATGAGACGAGGGGGTGGAATTTTGTGAAAAGAACCACACGGGTGTGAGTGCAATTTAAGCAGCGTGGTGAGCGGCGGAAACCGAGCGTCAGCGACCAGGGAGGGGAAGAGGGTGCAGAGACAGGATGGAGACGGAGGGGGTGGCCAGGGAGGGCTGCGGGTCAAGTGGAGGCTCTCCTGGAGGGTCGGGGCCACAGCTTCTTCGAAGAGAAAACACCTTAAAGACTTGGGGAAGTACACGGAAATTTCCCAGCAGTGGGGGATAGGATGAGACCATGGGAGGGAGGGACTCCGGTGAATTTGGGCTAAGCTCCTAACCTGTTAAGAGGTAGGACCCACGGAGACCAGGAACCCCATCTTACACTTACTGGATTCCCAGAGTGCTTAGCTCCTCGCGGGCATTTGATAAATTACTTTGTAAAAAAAAAAAAAATTATCCTACAGTGCTGAAAAGACTACCCTGGTTGCCGTGGAATAGATTCCAGCTCGTGGTGACCGCCATGTGTTGCAGAGTGGAACTGAGCTCCAGAAGGTTTTCTTGGCTGTAATTTTTACTGAAGCAGATCGACCGGTCTTTCTTTCGCAGTGCAGCTGTGTGGGTTCAAATGCCAACTTTTTGGTTAGTAGTCCAGCAGTCCAGAGCAAACTGTTTTCGCCACCAGGGACCGGAAACGACTCTAGAATCAACTTTTTGTCCATCTCCGATTCCTATTTTTTCTATTGCACAGTATATGCCAGTAATGATTCCTGTCACAGCATTTTAGGACTAGTTACTGAAAGGCTTTTTGTCTTTTGGTTTTCTTTGTCTCATTTTACGTTTTTCTTTATTTTTTTCTTTTTTCCTTAGATGCCAATGCCCAACTCATTCTCATACTTACTCCCAAGGTAAATGCATTTTGTGTTTTTAAACTAGCCACAATTTTGGGTTCT